GCAAAATTTAAATAAACAATTAAACGTTAGTGTACCTTGAATGTTTAACTTCATGTAATCATTCTCCGATTCGTTTGAATTTCGCTACCTAGGATTGTCTGAGCAGATCACTTTCTCTGCCCAATCTCAGGCTTTAAATGGAAGTAGACATGCCATTCCTATGTTAATTTTTTAGCCAGTTATAGCCTAATATCGTAGTGTAATTATTTGGGCCACCGACAGAGTGCGCTGATGTCAATTGGCGATTTCTGTCAAATACCTTCAACCAAGCCAAACTAAAAGTCAACATGTTGTAAACTATATATCAACTTCATATCGTCATATCCAACTATCAAAGTATTGAACATGAACTAAGAAATTATGGTCTCTCTCTCTCTCAGCAGTCGCGGTAACGTTGGCACTTGGCACTTGGCAGGTCGTGGAGGTGACTGCGGCGCACCCTCGGCAACATCAACCCACGCCACAGTCGAGGGTCCTCAGTCTTCGAGGCTGACCGTGGGCGTGGCGCAGGTGAAAGTCTAAATCTTCCTTGCAAACTGATCTGAGAACTGTAAAAGACACCACGTTTAGACGATACGTATAGTTAATACAGATACAACTTGTATTATATTAGACAATTTTTGATTGGTCTGTTTTCTGTCTATTCAATCCTAACAGCAATGCACAGCAGTAGTAGATGCATATGCACATTCCTATGTCATCCCTTGTCCACCGCCCGGCTCATGACAGATGGCTCCAGGACAAGGTCGGGGCCGTCCTTGCTCCGGAATGAGGACCGCCCGGATTCCTTGGATGCTCGCCTGCATGTGATACGCTTCCGGACATTGTGCTTGTAAAGTATTCGGTTATATCACAGATATGGGAATATATTGGTCGTCTGTATCTATTCCCGTGTCTGTGGTTATATTTAGGTACAAACTCAAACTGCTCCCGTACAATCGCCTTGTAAACGAAACTTCAAGTGGTGTAATCATACAGTAGCTGTACCCCGAAAAGAGAACACGTTTTCGATATGTCTGTTTTTTCCTCGTGAAAAGGTCCGATCACATTGATATTTTAGGATTACTTTTTTCCTTGGAAAGTATATTTTCGGGTATACGACTCATAACTTGTAGGCAGTGGCTTACGATAAAACGATTTACTATAATATTTAAACAAATCTATCTTTTATAATGATACACAGGAGCTTCTAATGAACTACGTACGTTCAGTATATAGCCAAGAAAATGTATGTTACAGTCATTTTAGTTTGTTTCCTTCACCTTTTAGTTGGTTTCAGCTTTAAAGTTTACGTGTTGCGTGAAAAGGGAATCTTAACAACAATAAAACCGGATTCCGGATATTAGGCCTATAGTGTTTTTAGAGGACAACGATTTAAACTCGGTAAAAGGGAGAACTAAACTTACCGCAATGTTTGGTGCCAGTATATGCCATATAAAGTTAAAGGGATTCGCATTTGAATGTAGTCCGATGCAACTCGTGGTCCAGCCTCCAGCCTGTGACGCGGTCGGGAGACGAGGGAAGTGGCCTCTCCTAATACGGAGCTGACCTTGGAGCAAGTCGCAAAGTCCCTACATGGAGTCCCGCTGATGTAGGACGAGGCTGTAACGGAGCAAACACATACTCGGACCCACCTGTAGCTACGTCACATGTCCGGTGTCGTAGGGCGATCATGTCTGGAGGGGTAAAGCGACAACAGGACTGAATCTGACCTGGGATAGTCTGAACCCCATGGGGCAGTCATGCGGCATTTTCCGAGGGTGCGACATTAGGACTGAATGGAATCTCCCCGTTCTCCCTGCCTAATTCCCACCACCCTATCCCCGGACACTTAGTGAACTAGTCGGTTCGGCTCATGGAATCGTTCACGGAAATATTTACTCCGTGTAAATTTGTCAGCACTTGTCATCTTTTATTAAAATAATTTAAACAGGTAAATTGCCTTTTCATATAATAATAATACTGTACGGTAGTAAATATTTTTATGGTTTGAGGTTAGGTTAGGTTGGGTTAGGTTAGGTTAGGTTAAGTTAGGTTAGGTTAGGTTAGGTTAGGATAGGACATTTCTGTCTTGATCTGAATAAATATGCCACACAGTTATGTTTGATCTCTTCGAAAAGACGACGCATCAATTTGGTAAACGATTCCATGAGGTGGTAAGTTCTCTTACCTGTATGTATGTAGATAGGGAGAAGGGAGCTGGCCGCGGGAGAACGGGAAGAAACCGACGCGGCGAGGGAGGTTACCCTCAGTCCTATTGTCGCACCCCTGAAATAGTTCGCATGGCTGCCCTTGCGGACCCAGGCCGGACCAGGTCAATCAGTCCTGTTGTCACACTACCGTCTGGAGGAAATGAGGGAAATGCAACATCATACATATCTTTAAACCTCCGCACTTCCTTCTACGTCACTTGTCCGCTGACGTAGGACAATGTTGTCCGGAAGAAATGAGGAAAATGCAACATCGTTTTACCTAAAACAACTACCATTGTTGCTGCATATTTGTTGGAGTTTTTTAGTTGTTTATAGACAAGTAGAATAATATAAGAAGCCTTTCTATCAATTCACTATCACTAGTTTCATACATGTCTTTTTACCTTGCACTTCATTCTATAATACGTCACTTGTCCGCTGACATAGGACAATGTTGTCTGGAGGAAATGAGGGAAATGCAACATCATACATGTCTTTTTACCTCCACACTTCCTTCTACGTCACTTGTCCGGTGACGAGGTGTGATTTTGTGTGTAGGAAATGCGGGTAAATACAACTTCGGCATGCAAAATGTCTTTACATATCCAACTTTCTATCTACGTTACATGTTTTAAGTTAGGCTATGTACATTTAGGTTCTGTATATGAACACATAATGGATTATTGATCACTTAAACTATAGGAAATTTTATTGAATCCATGCATCTCCACATCTGCAGCGTCGTGAAGTCATGCATTGTGTCCTGGTGTGCAATAGTGAGATTGCATTTTCCCTCCTATCACAAGAGGCGGTCGGATAGAGCAGGCCCGTATTCCATATTTTGCAGGCGTCACGAGCAACATACGTCCTCCCAAAACAGACTTTTGTAATAGTAGGCCCTTGGCCACCAGTTTCGTGGCTGTCAAATGGTGGGAGCTGCGATTGACAGTCCTACAACCATTGTTACTAACACTGTGTGACCTATAAACTAGAAAGCGTCAACTCGGCTACCCTCAGCCAGTGTCCTAGCCCTTGTATGTTGTCCCACTGCATGTTTCACTTTCACTGCTTTATACCTTCTCTCACCCACCCTCTGCGTCTCAGGGGTCTCAGTTTGCCATCCTCGCGTTCACAATGTGCTAACATTCTACACACCATGAAGAACATGTTACAGAAATACAAATCGATATTTCATCAAGAAACTTTTATTTGCACACTAATTTTTAATATAAAAAATACATGATAATGTAGGCAATTTTAAATAATACATAGCTACTGGGCTCAATAATATAACTACTATCCCATATATTGTTTGTGATAAAAATATAGGGAAATATTCAATTACAGTCCTTTATGCCAATTTTAAGCATCATAACAGCCATGTTTATAGAAAAGTACGATCAAATCATGGAATAAATCCATTATCAACAGTTTGTTTTATTTACCAACATGATGGTTATGTTTATGAAATACAGATTCAAACACAGAATTAAACACATGATACTGTATGGTAAAAAAAATCAAACTAAAAACAACCTGCAGATCATTCATTACTGGTAGTTTATACAGGCTATTCGGTGTTTGTGCAAACTAGAAATTCCCACGACCCGACGTGGGCAATCACTTTTGCTCACATCGCGTTGTGGGTATTTTGGATTTTCTCAATCGCCGAAGAACGTTTTGACTTCTGCATTTGAGGAAATCTGGTTACCCACAACGCAGTCTGTGCAGATAGTTTCGGCCAATGACCGAATAAAATGCTCACTCCGCGACGTGGGTATTTCACACTATCCACATCGCGGAGTCGGAGTGGGTAAAAATTTCGGACATTGTCCGAATTTGGAGATTGAGTGTAACATATACATAGGATTTCGAATGGGCATCGAACTTCGGTGACGTGGGTCCACGATTTCTGGAACTGTACAGTTAATGTAAAAAATAAAATGTTATAAAATCTTTCGTGTTAAATAACCATATTGTTCCAAAACTCGTCGTCTCTTTCAATTTTTTTTCTGTCTTCAGTCCTATCGGCGTCCAGAGAGCAAAATCACAGAACTCACGACCGGTTACACCCAATTGTCCTTGGTAAATAATAGTTATGAGTTCTGTTGATGTCACCGATTTTGCCGTCCCGAGACTTCCAGAAGGCGACTTTCCGAGCTATGATGACTTCATCAGAAGTCATATTCTTGGCTTTATTGGATGGACATTTGATTTCTACGAGACCATCTGCATCTAACAGACCGTCAGGAGTAGCTCCCAAGAAAATCCCATACTGTACATACCTTTCCTCAGTAACCGCTACTCTTCGTCACTTGTCACCGTATAGGCATACCCAGACAAAGTAAATGCTTATTTTAATCTGACTTATCCTATCCGAGTGGTCCACTAATGGTTTGTAGTGCTCAAAACAACACGAGTCAGTCAACGATAACATACATTACGTCGGTCACGAATCCTCACTACTGTTACAGACACTGCCTCTAAGATAACGTCGACGCGTGAATCAGCTGATCTCACGAAATCCTTCAGTTTAGAGAACCAGTGACTAAATTAGTTAGAGACAATAACGGCTTCGGTTTGCCTCTATGCAATGACGAAATTTGTGTGGCAGAATTATTATAGCCTTTAAGTATTTTACTTAAATGTATGTTATGTTAATTGAGGACACTTGACACTTAGAAATAGATAGTAAGACGTTTGCCGGATTATATATATTACAATTTTAAATGTTTGCACCATAAACCTACCACCAAAAATTTTAAAATAAATATTTACAATGCATTACATTATTATTTGTGATTCCAGGATGACTAGCATGAGGCACGTGACGACTATGTCGACGACAAACCACGACAATAACCTTGGTAAGTTGTACAATAATTTATAACTAGATAAAATAAATCTGTTTAGTGTTTATTCTATAGAAATGTTTATAAGCTTATTTATACGACTATTTCATTGATGGGATTTTGTTGCTTGTATTAATTCTAAATCAATAATAATTGAAAAAAATGTGGGAGTAAAAAATTTACCTCGAACAATGAATGGCGGTTAACGTATAAAATATAAAGCTATATTTCCTAATTTGATTGACTCAGATCAAGAATAACGACAACAACAAAATTGTTACTAGCCCATTCTCTCATGATACAAAACAATTTTCTCATTACTCCCCTACATAATTTATGTACTTTAACACAGAATTATTGATTACTGCATTACTGCATACATAGTACCATTGACTATTGGATACTGAAAAGTACTCAGTTTTTTACATTTATCATGTTATACGTATTTTTGGTTTATATTGAAAAGCATCGATGTAAACTGAAGCACGTTGTGATCGGTTGTGATGTCCTAGTAGCCAGACTGCTTGGTACAGCACAATCAGCATCACAGGTCGCCAGTCAGACCTCTGACCTGACCTATGCCAGACTCACCGCTAATAATACAACTGCGAGATTAAGATATCCCTCGCCCCGGTTATCACACTCGTCATAATTAGCTAATTGACAGTTTTTACAATTTAGTAATCTAATGCGGGACACCCGTATTACGCCAGAGGGTCCAGGTAGCTGACCTGTACTGCGCCAAAACACACATGTAACGCGCCAGAGTGGCTTTTTCTTTGTAATAATAGTTGTGAGAGATACTGTCCTATTAATGGATCTGAGAGTGCATTGAGTGTGATATAAACTGTGACTCAATGCACATATGTATACTCAATAAATATACTACATAAATATACTCATTGTGTGTGTATATTTATATAATAATCATAATACTGTATTTTGTGCTTATTAAAATGTATTACAACAACACTTAATCTACTTTATGAAATATGTATAAACTCTAGTTTAACAATGCTGATCTATTGTTGATTTCTGCTTCTGTTATTGATGTAATTCATTCTTACTACAGTAAAACCTAAAAGGAAGAATACAATTAAAATTATGACTTTTGAAAATAAATAAGTCTGTCATAATTTAACAATGACAGTATTCATCAGTAATGACGAGCATAATAGAAATAATAATCTATCGAAAATTAGTTTGTCTGTTCTATGAGTATACTATATAGGCTAACATAAACGGGAAGACGAATGATATACCAGAATACATCCAAACGGGCTATTATTTTTCAATATACAGGTTACAAAAAATATAAGTTAAAACACGGTGGTTTACAACTAAACAACAACTAAAGATATGAACGGTAGTAACTATAAGTACAACGAAACACATTGACAGTTTCTCGTATAATGAAAAAAAGTATGTTTAACTATGACCTGAGGCCGGTGTGGCCTCCAGTTTTGTGTTTTATTGCCATCTCCAGATCGTTAAACGTAATCGCCCTCAGGGACGTTTGTTGTTTCGCGCGCTAAAACATCTCCCAGATCTCCGTTGGAACTCGCCTACCTCCACAGTCCACAGTGTCCAGGGTTCGGCAATCGATAAACCCAACTCCTATAAAATCACCTCCCGTCTAGGCTCCAGATAATGAACGGGACAAAAGTAAATAATTTTAGTAACAATATCGTACATGCAATTTAAATAAATAATAGTTAGTAATAAGTTCTATATATTGTCCTTTATCGTACCCTACTCTATTCATCGTAAGTTGTTCATATAGATATTCCAGAACGTATTAATAGGTTAAAATATTACTAAGAAGAACCTTAAATAAATTAGGCTATCATTAAAACAAATCATTTAGGAAAGCAATCAACACTGAAAACAAGTCTTAGCTGAGACTAAATAATTTATAAATAAAAATACTTAAAAAATACCACGTTTTTAATCGCACTAAAAAGTAGAAAATAATTTATAATTATTTGGAGAGAATATTTATAAGTATTTATTAGAATATAAGTATTTAATTGTAAGATTTAAAACGAAAAACGTGGGGTGCATGCTAAATTACAATTATCTTCACGTATTGAACTAATACTGTATTATCTATTGCATGAGCCCACGTTTTCGAGCGAATTTCCCATAGGGAATAAACTGGACCTGGGACTGATATACTTTTTCGTTTTGAGGCCCCAGAGGCCAAAAACACCATCAGTTCAAATTCATATATATATATGAATATATATATTCATATATATATATTGTGGTGTTCATTATACCATTATACCATTATATATGTACGTGTGTCAGTTATAGCATGATAACTTGAGCAAAAATGATCCGATTTGATGATATTTGGTATAAACGTGTTTTTTAGTTCGCGAACCACCATGATCGGACGATGGAACCGGGGGTTTATGGGAGGTTTTATGGGGTGAAAATAAGGGTTTCCCATTATTGACCCTAAGAACACAAAATTTCACAATTTCTTTCCAAATTGTAGAGCTTAAAAAACAAATAATTTAGTATATTGAAGCGTTATTGTGCGCCTAATGTTTACGGAGAAAAAAAATGTAAATTTAAAATACCCATGTTATTCTTATGGAGAAAAAGTCGACTGTTGTAGTTTGCTTGTTTATGAATATACTTTGATCGAATTTGAAAAATGCATTAATATTACTAAACTATTAACATTTTACTTTGTGGCAATTATATTTAATTTATCTAAAATACTAAAATGCTATGGAAAGAGATGAAAGCAGGTCCACGACGTAGTAAAGTTTAGCATCGCAGAGTGTGAAAACTGTGTGTGGCAGTTAGATTAATGTATCTTCCATCCTAAATTGCTATGAGAAGGGAAGGAAACAGGTCCATAGTAAGGCCAGCAGTGCAGGAGTGTGGGAACTATCTGTGGCAACTATGTATCTGCAATTCTAAATGGTATAGGGAAGGAGGGCAAACAGATCCACGACTGGCGAAGGAAGTAGTAAAGGCGAGCAGTGTGGAGTTTGGGAATGGATTAATCTATCTGCAATACTAAACTGCTTTCATGTGATATTTTTAAGGGGGCATTTTAGTTTAAATACAATCAGGCAAATTTTAATTCGCTTAGTCTGCAGGTTTGCTGTGGCAGGGGTATTTCGCTTTAAATCTTACAAGTATTTATTCTCTCCACATATTTATAAATTATTTTATACCTTTGATCGATGATTTTTTCTCGATATATCGTTATTAAATTGAAACATATCAGCTGACAATTACGATAAATAAATATTGTCCAGAATCGACAAACAAAAATTAAAAAAATATTGAAATAAAACTGTTCTAAACTAACCTAACAAAACTAACCAAACTTGCTGTAACATTTAAATACCCCCGTCGCAGCAAACCTGCATACTAAGCGAATTTCCATTTACCCGGCTTGATTTCTACTAAAATATTCCCTATAAATTTTCAGATTTATTTCCTATTTAAATAACATTAATTTTAGTGATTAGTTAGGTTTGCTGCTACGGGGAAGATGTTGAGGTGTGTTTTTTCAATTGAAATATTGATAGCTTGAAATAAACCAAATTGCCAAATTTGATTAAAATATATCCATAAACAAGCAAACTAGAACAGTTTATTTATTCTCCATAAGAATAACATGGGAATTTTAAATTTAAAATTTTTTTAATTTTCTCCGTAGTCAATGAACATTCAAAAACCCTTCAATTTACTAAATTATTTGTTTTTTTAAGCTCTTCAAAATGGTCTAGAGAGAAATTTAGAAATTTAAAGTTTTTAGGGTCAAAAATTAGAGAAACCCATTTTTACCCCATAAAACCCCCCATAAACCCCTGATCCCATGGTCCGATTATGCTGGTTCGCGAACTCGTTCGAATAAACGTAGGTTTACACGTTTGTACCAAATTTCATCAAAATCGGATCAATTTTGCTCGAGTTATCGTGCTAACGGACACATATATAAATATATATATATATATAAATATATATATATATAAATATATATATATATAAATATATATATATGAATTTGAACGGATGGTGTTTTTGCCCTCTGGGGACCTCAAAACGAAAAAGTAAATCGGTCCCGGGTCTAGGTCTTACCATGAGACCTACGGTAATAGCTTATTCCCTATATGGGAAATTCGCTAAAACTTCATTAAATATTCTCCACTCGCCTTTTCTGTTATCAAACGGAATTTTTAAATGGTACAGCAAGATTGGTTGGTTATGTTAGGTTAGCTTAGAACAGATTCATTTCTTTCCATATAATAGGATATATTTTAGCCTAAATGTCAGCTGTCAATTTGTAATGTATCGTAAAGGGAAAACATCGATATATCGAAAAAAGATCATCGATAATAATGAATGTTCCCTTTAACAGGAAAGTAACCCAAAACCTTATTATCTGTAATCAGATGTTAAATTACCTACTTTGTATGTTCGCCATTTAATGAGAAGGTATTAAAGTATATCTTTTAGCGAATTTCCCATATAGGGAATAAGCTATTACCGTAGTACTCATGGTAAGACCTGGACGCGGGACCGTTTTTTTTCGTTTTGAGGTCCCTAGAGGCCAAAAATACCATCCGTTCAAATTCATATATATATATATTTATATATTTATATATATATATATATATATGTGTCCGTCAGCACGATAACTCGAGCAAAAATTATCCGATTTTGATGAAATTTGGTACAAACGTGTAAACGTACGTTTATTCGAACGAGTTCGCGATCCAGCATGATCGGACCATGGGAACGGGGGTTTACGGGGGGTTTTATGGGGTAAAAATAGGTTTTCCCATTTTTGACCCAAAAAACATAAAATTTAGCTATTTCTTTCCAAACCATTTTGTAGAGCTTAAAAAAACAAATAATTTAGTATATTGAAGAGTTATTATGCGCCTAATGGTTACGGAGAAAATTCCAAAAAATTGTAAATTTAAAATTCCCATGTTATTCTTATGGAGAATAAGTAAACTGTTGTAGTTTGCTTGTTTGTGAACATATTTTGATCAAATTTGGAAAATGTTTTTATTTCTTACTAACTATTCACATAAAAAAAAAAAAAAAAACAGTTTTACCCTCCCTGATGCAGCAAACCTAGTACTTGTTAAACTAATTTTATTTAGATCGGGAATAAATGTTATATTTTTAAGTAGACATTTCAGTGTAAATCCAATCAGTCGAATGGAAATTCGCTTAGTCTGCAGGTTTGCTGCGGCGGGGGTATTTTTACTTTGAAATGCTTGTTTTATAAAATATCTCTGGAGCAGAATACCTGTACCTCTTAACCTCTGCTCTTCGAACTGTCAAATTTAAGTATTTACAGCTGACTTCAGTTGATATATTTACATTCTTTCAAAATGTAAACATGGACAATTTGGAAGCCCATGGGGCTTAGCCCAAGGGAAATATGAAAATAAAACGATATTGTATTGCATTGTTATCCATTTGTGAGCTATGTTTCAAGGTTCAATTCTCTAGCTCATCGGGAAGATAGTTTAAAATTGATTGCAAAATTTGTACCGGACAAGAAAGCACATTTTTGTACGTTTAAAAAGTGCAAGACTTGCATTTTCTCACGACAAGAAAATAAGTTTTCTTTTCTGTGTTTGCATGAGTGTGTGACTGGTTTTGGCTGTGTTCCTGTTTACAATGGGTCCGCCATCCCAGAATAGCACCGTAACAGTAAACCGCCTCCACATATGTAGGCTAGAGGCCACTGAAAAGTTAATAAATTGGACAAGGACATTTCTGATAAATTGGACAAGACAGTTTTCAACTGTAGAAGAAGTCAATAAGAAGTAATAATAATAATTCCAACAAATAACGATTCATTCAATTCTGCTGTGAAATCAAAGTTCTTCTCGTACATGTCACTCGAATCAAGAAAGATTAGTATTTCAGGTATTAAACACTGAGTGAAATACTAATAACTAACAATATGTCTATAGATAAGTGAAGTTCATAGTAACAAGAATTTGATTGCGAATTTCAACACAAATATACAGTGTGTCCCCTAAAGTAAACAACCAATCTCCGTGAAATGGTTCTATGGGTCAAAATAAAAAGATAATCAAGAATAACATTATTTCCAAAATCGCTTTTTTAACCAGATATTTGTCATTTTGTTTTTTTGACACAAAGTTTAAAAAGATTGAATACAAATAACTGAAATAGCACGATTTTTAGTTGTTAAATGAGGCAATCCTGACTAGCTTTAGCCTTGTTCAACATCATTGAACAACTAAAAATCGTGATATTTCAGCTTATATTCTATGAGGCTTTTTGTTTAAGTATGTGGTTGATCCGTGCATCTTACGTGTTTCTCAAACGATCGTTAACAGAGTCCTTGATAGCTTTATTTATAAATAGGCGATTGGAGAAAATTGTTAAAGGAACCGACAGGGCATGAAATCAGAAATTCGTGGAAAATATTTCAATATTTACTTTCATTTTCATAAGCAGTATTTCTTTGATGAACTTTCAACAGAATAACAAAAGGCTAGCAAAATATGAATACCTAGACTATGATATAGAGGATAGATCAATGCTCATGTTTTTGGATAATTCTGGGGTACAATTATTAAACACTTCACAAAGAATCCTATTTATTTCCACATGTCATACATTGTTAAATGACTTGAATGTTTGTGATTGTGGCACCGTAAAGGATTGAAGCTTACGTAAATACTCTGCTAGACCATAATTTCAACCACATATTGAACAGAATATAGCAGTCTTTTGTTTTTCTATAAAACTTATATTTCAATTCTTTATTGAATACAGACTTTGAAATTTTACTTTAGGTCGTCTCTGGTTTTGTTATCTATTTTGATGTTGATCTCACAAACGAGTATTTGAAAGGTAGGAGTCATGATAGAGTTTGTACTTGAGTGGAAGGTGCCACTCTAGAAACTAACCCTTGACCTATAGATTAGTCATGTAGCCGGTGACAAGTTTGCCAATTCTCGGTGTCAACCTTGCCTTGGCTTGTGCAAAGTCTGGTACTTGAAGGTCGCTATTTGGCGCCAAGTCTGTTGCTCATTGCTTACCTCAACACGTTGGTTGTTTGGCTGGCACTGCCCAGTGACCACTCACTCGATCCTCCTTGCACTTTGCTGCATCAGCCACCTCTTGTTTTGTCATGCTTTACAGGTTTCAATTGCAGATTATCAGTTAAATTTCTGCAGTTTTTTTAAAAAATAAAGGAAATTGATTTATTGTTTGTTATTACTATTTTGCTAGTACACTGTGGATAGACAACTTAAAAGTCTTTTGTTTACTTTTTCCTTGTTATTTAATTCAGCCAAGATGGTTACTTAGCAACCCATAAGACTAATGTTAAAAATGTGACTTGCAGTTTCATTTTTCTACGTAATTAGATTTTTGTTGGCAGTTCTAACTGCAGTAAACTCGTTTTTAGGCCAAGAATAAACTATTTACAACATTTGAAGAAAATCGTCGGAGCCGTTTTCGAGATCTTGGTACAAGCAAACATTGCTCGTATTAGAGTATAGGATTAGGAAACGTAAAAACCATGCATGATTGTGGTTCTTATAACCCTCAAAGGCCCTAAACAGTTGCAGGTCTACAACAGTATCTTCAATGTTATTATTGCATTTTTAGTTGCCAAATTAAAATTGTTTGGTTTTAATTTTAATTAAAATTAAATTAATTTTTTCTGTTCAGACTTTGTTGTTGTATTTTATTTATTTAATTTGTTATTGTTGTTATAGATATTTAAATAATTGCCAATGTTATTTTTTAACATATTTATTTGTACGTTATTTATTGTAATTTATTCGTTTTTGTCATATATTGTATTGTTGTGAGTGATTACACTAATAATTATAATGTTTTCAGCAAGATGAACTTTTACCATATTAATTATTTATAATGCATGTCAAGATTTTGTTGTTCTAATATTAATGCTACAATGTAACTGGGTTTATCCTGTTTTGCAGCATTGTAATAAAATAAATAAATAAATATGGTTATGCCCTCAGATGCACTATTGGAGGAGCTACAGACCAGTGTATCACGACCAGGCTCGTCGCTGGGTCACACCAACGGACCAATGACAGGCTACCGTGAGGTGACTAGAACTGTCACTACAGAGACAGACGGCCATCCCACTGCCAAGACATCTGAGTACCAGATAGAGTATCTCAACCCTTCCAACACCACCACTGTACTCAAGGAGGTTCCCCACACGGACCTCACGCTGCTTGTGAGTATACTGCACAGCCAATCGTTGAAATCTCACCATCAAAATGTCGTCTAATGTTTGCATATCAATGAATAAGAAAGAAAAAAAAACAAATTGCAATTGCTACAAAATCAGTGCCTTTTTCCAACTTATGTTTGATAGATGCCTGCTGTTACATGTTAAATTGCTGACAATTGTTTAAGTGACAGATTTAGAGGGAGAGTACAGAGGAAGATGCTCCCCCTCTCACTATACTGACATTTCAAGTACCTATATAACACTGATGTGAAATGTAAATAATAGTTTTAGAGGAAATCCATTGATACTAACCTCAAAATTACATGTTTTTAGGCTTCTCAATTCTCAAAATATTTCCAAAGAGAAGCCCAAAGCCCCCAGCCTTCTCTGGCAATGGAGGAATCCAAATGCCTCAGTTTCACGTTTTCCTAATAGTATCTTTCTATAGATCTGCTCCTGCTGGCAACTACTACAATTTACTGCTATCTGGTTATGGATTGTATTTTGAGAATAAATGTGTATAAAATAATGTGTTTGGGGGAATGCAATAGTTTCTTACTAGTGTACATGTTGCTCGAATTCGAGCAATTGCAAAGTATTACAGGAGTTATTTTAAAAAGAATAACAGTCATATTTACAATGAGTTTAAAAGAGTCAACTCAAAGCTTAGGTACTGGCGTGTAACTAAGAACACGATTATCTTCGTTATTGATAAACCTAAAGAATTCCGGCCGGTTTTCTCCTTCTCAAAATGCCTCGATGTACAGGCAACACAGGTCATTGATAGATGGCCAATTGAAAACGAAAAGTCGTTTTGGATCAGTGTTAGGGTGCATTTGTAACCTAATAGTTGAGATTGTCCAGGGTCAGGTGCTGACTGTGATGAGTTAAGCCTATTACGCGCCACTGTTCTGTAGCTGCGGTCGTTATCACGATTACGCCTCCTGTCTACGTTTTGTTGATGTCGCGTCAGAGGCAAAAAAACAAAGAAAAAACAACAAATAAACTAATTATAGCTACACAAAACAACGATAAATACAGAAATTTAAGTTACAATCGTGCTAACACGATCCGTTGTAGCGGCACAAAACGACGATAAATACACAAATTTAAGATACAACCATACTAACACGATCCGTCTTGGGGGTTATGTTTACACAAACTCAAATAGTAAATATTGAATTGAAAAATAAACAACAGCAATTAAATTATACAGCTGATCAAAATGTAAACAATTATGTTCTTCATAAAGATAACATGGGAACTTTCAAAGCCACTGGGGCAGAGTCCAAGGGACTTTTTCAGAAATGTAAGGCCAGTTTGCAAATCTACGCGAAACGCTCTTTCCAATGAGACGTCAACGGATAAAATCGGTTTAGAAATGGCGGAGGAGTTCAACCGACAAAGTTTCATGTAGCGTATTAATTATATAGATGAATTTTTTTCTCTGTTCAAATTATTTAAAAGTTGTTGGCGTAGGTACCTAACATGAGGGGCACTGAATATAGGCCATCTTCAAGTTGCTTGGTCAGTACATTAACAAATCAGCTAACAACCTTCTTGGGTAATTTATCCGCACTTTTATCTTACTCATTGCATTAGAGCCATAGCCTTCAGTCATCTGGGGATGGATGCGGTCCCACTTCTAAAGAACCACCACTACCAGTACCAAAATCATTTTGATAAATATTTTTAAGTTGAAGTATATGTTTTGGTTTTGGAGCTTTTGAGTGAATAATGAGTTTTTCTGAGGGTAGAAAAAATTAGATCAAAACTTATTTACCACTCTATGTACAACTACAGACAATTGTATTTTCATAGACTGGCAAAAAGGCAATCTCCTGTGTTATTACTATACAGTTATAGCAGGAGTATAAGTATGACTTTAAAATGGAACGTGCAAGTTTTGCAAGGTGGTTTTGTCATGAAAATTGAAAATAAAGATTTTTAATAAATTCAGAATTGGTTAATGGCTTGTAAACGTAAATGATTAGATTACTAATAAGTGTTCAAGCATAATTCATAGACAACTCCAATCATTGAACTTTTTCCATTACAGAATAATGTACCCAGTAGTAACCATGGTGGTTATAACAAAAAGATTCAGTATGAATACAGGACAACAACATCGGGTTCCTCAGTCCCAGGTAAGAACCAACAGACTTTTAAATAAAAAAAAAATTTTGAAATTACGATTAAAAAAAATTTGTTTGTAATATGAAGCACAGATATCTTCAATAATTAAGTATGTACTCCTATAATAATTTATTGTTTTATTTACTGTAAACCTTAATTACCGTATTTTGTTTACAAACTCAAGAAGTATCAAAAATGAAAAAATATCTATATACTACTTACTTATCTATATACAATAAGGGTTTTCTATGTTACATACTTTTATTGCCTGACCTATTCAACCGGTTTATACGATTGAGGTGTAATTTTAAAGCTTATATCCTGTAGAATGACAAATCATAACTAAACACTAAACAGGCGGTTACATTTAGGAGTATTTGCCCCCTTGCTTTTTTTATCTCTGAAGACTGCTTTCAAAGGTCCAATGGTGCTGATTAACTTTTTTAATAGCAATTTTAAATGTTAATTAATTAATTGTGTTTAACAGCTTTAACCTTCAATTGGTTATTTACAACAGTCAGATCCTAATCGAGAGACAGAACTGTTTAAATGGAAATCAATATTAAATAACAGGCTACTTTTATTGATAATGAAACATGATTGAGGTACCGTACCTAAATTATACTCTTGATGGCATATATTCAATAGACAGGTTTTAATATATTGTAAATTAATATAGGTAGTGTTTATGTATATAATAGACCTAATCGTCTCAACAAAATAATCTGATTACCGTATATCAATTCTCATGATTTCTTATGGATTTTTATTTTTCAGCATTAAAAATAAAAGCTCTTTAAAATCCTCTTTGAAAGGTAAAAAAAAGTATTGTATTATTTGTTTGCCTCAGAGACAAATTCCAAACCCAATTAAAATGTGCAATTTGTGCACCCGTGCCCCTCATTTTTATTTGAAATACACATTGTTAGGCTTTGTACACATTGTTGAAATACCTAATAATTTGTTCATAAAATTTAGAAATCCGTCCCCTCTACTTCATTTTGCATTAAAAAGCAATAACACTTAACAGCTGAGGTTTTCCAAATCAGCTGCAATATATACATTAAGCGAAAATCAGTGGTAGAACTTCCCCTCAAACCGCGACATTTTTTGAACGGAGTATAATATTATATTTGTTACAAAACAAAAACGGACCAATCAGAAATAATGTGAAAAGAACACTTCTCCCTGAACAAAAATATATCTAAGAAATTATATCCTTGACATTTTTCTCAAGTATAGAGAAACAACACGTTTGTTTTAATTTTAAGTGTTAAGTGTACTGGGTGGAGGTATTTATCTACTAAGGAAAAACTTGTGAAAAACTTTATTTAGATCGGTCCATATATCTAGCAGTATCTCGGTTGGTATTTAGCGGCAACTGTTCAATTCAAATCAAGCTTACTTTGATATTCAGCAATGCTTGTACACATTTTGTTGGTCATTTTTAACCCTTTGTCAGTATTAATTTTTAACCCTATATATTTTAACTAAACATTTTGTAATAATGAAATATACCAATCAATGTGTACTGATTGATAGATGCAGCTTTGCCTGTGGCCGATACTCGGATGCGGCAGAACATCACCGAGCTAGACTCTCTCTTGGACGACCTCCACACGGCCCAGAGAACTGGATTTGCAGACAGTAAGACCTTGAATAATGTATGACTATAACTCAAACCAAACAAAAAGAAGCAACTTTTTTGCAATTGCCTTTTAAAAAGAACTTCAAATGCAAGACAAAATGAGCACACACCGGTTCAAAGTTTCAAAATCAATTTACAAAATTCACTGGTGTGAAGTTTGATTCAAATTTAGCATGTACTTGTTACTTTTCCACTGTTAAAAAAATAATGAATGTTCAAAATATAACACACTAGCAGAGTACCAGTCCTTCTTGCCGTATAAGTATATAATACTTATTACAGTTATATACTCGTGCTTTGGGTTTGCAATGGGAGAGGACACGGTTTAAGAAAATTTGGTTCTTTTAATTTACGGTATGCTATAGCTAGTATAGCACATCTACCATAGACATAATGCACTACCACTGGACCTAAACAATACAAAAAGTGAAATTCTCATTTTTACAGCTTTTGTTGCTAGTTGGTTCAAATGAGATTTTGTCATAAATGAAAAAAATAATAGTGCTGCACCCTGTTGGTAAGCCTTATAACTTTTTAATACTGTTTAATATCATAGAACCAATTTGTGTAGTTGAAACAGCTGACAAAATTCTTTTACTCCTTTTAAATATGAATACTCATTTGGTTGACATGGGAAATTCCAGAGCCACTGGGGCGGAGCCCGAAAGGATATTTGAGATAATAATATGTCTATGTTAATCGGGAATGTGAGCTATCACCATACCAAATTTCAGCCCAATCCTGACCAGTAGTTGATGCGTGATGGAACTTCAAACAAACAAATAAGCAAAGAAACAAACACACAAACCTTCACATTTAATGAAAATAAATTAGCACACATTACTTTTACCTTAAATCAGGCTACATGTCCTCCAGTATCCATGAACAATATTCACCTCCCTCAAGTAACAGAAATAAAATACTTGGGCATGCACTTAGATGCAAAGCGTAATTGGAAGGCACATATCTGGACTAAAAGACAACATCTAAATTTAAAAACAACTAAACTTAATTGGCTTCTTGGATCTAAATCAAAACTCAGTACACAAAATAAATTGTTACTGTACAAAACAGTTCTAAAACCAATTTGGACTATGGTATTCAGCTTTGGGGATCAGCAAGTACCTCAAACATTGAAATTATTCAACGTTACCAATCAAAATTATTACGTAAAATTGTCAACGCTCCTTGGTTTGTTACCAACAGAACACTTCACAATGATCTTCAAATTCGAACAGTCAAATAAAAAATTACAAAATCTAGAGAAAAATACATTATACAATTGGAAAATCATTCAAATCATCTAGCACTTAATTTATTGGACGATCACAACACCATTTACAGACTGAAGCGACATACGATATTGGACCTCGCATTCAGATTTGGCTGTTATCAAAATTCTCTTTGTTAGCTAGTGTTGACAGTGGTCAATCACTAGCTCATGTTCTTCAAGTTAATGTTTTATTATTATTTATACCATTTGCTTATTGTTCAACTTGAACAGATTGTAAATTAAATAAAGTTAAAATAAACATTTATAATATTAGTAAGATAAGATATGGGAATTTTACCGATTCTTTTGCAAGGAAATTTACTGCAGAAGAATAATTGTGTTCGTGTTCTTTCTACGACTTTATAAAACGACAGACATTTTGGGTACTACCTAATTAAGGATAAGTGTAATAGTCACAAAGAAGTAAGGTTCAGAGGAAACTTGCTTTATGGGACAACCATGCTCTTTTTTCAGCTCTAGTATGTGTTGTGCCAGAAATACGAGCGGCAAACACTGTGCAGAAAGTCCTATAGCAGAGGCCACAGGGTCTTCCTCCACCGTGAGCGTTGTAGTTCATAATGGTGTGGGGGGCGGTGCTTGACTTTGCCCTAGAAACCAGCAACTAGTGCTAGGTACCTCTGAGGCCTTAAAGTGTATTACTGGGAGAACCATTGGGTGTTCCCTCTGTACCTACTTCTCTGTGGTAATACTAATAAATATTCTTTGCAATAAGATTTTTAAATCACCAGAGTGCCTTCTTAACAAATATATGCTGGCAGAGACCAGAGATCAATAATGTTTTGAACATTTTCATGGATTTTCTAACTTTTATCTTTTTTTACCTCACAGTTCAAATATAGCTAAGATTCCCGAGTGCTTAAAGTGCTTGCCTCTTGTAAAGGGAAATGCCTGATTGATCATAAGAGTAATGTTGCGGTGTTCTTAAAATCTGGATGTGCAACTTTCTACATAATCTGTTGCTCTTTAACAAGTCTATAAAATCAGCCAAAAAAATTAGTTTCATCCTACATTGCTGAATGAGAAAAATACAAGTTTAAACTAAATTAATATCAAGCCACTCAAAGTAACACTGAACCAAAATAATTAAACTGATTAAAGTCGATAACACAATTAAGTCACTGTCACAACTGGAACTGTCACAATCCACCACTGCCCAATAAACTTCTAACTTCTGGTGCAGGAGCATGTGCGGCTGCGAGGTGCGAGGTACAGTTCTGGCCAAAGTTAGGTAAAAAACCTATACCTCTGAGGCTTGTGTGTTGTATTGGTGCTGAAAAATATAGCTGTAGCGCTATAGCTTACACAGCCCTGCAAATTGGGCAGCTGGGAAACCCCTCATTAACAAGGCTGTCATATATCGTTCACTCAGCACCTACTACTTGTGCCCGTATATGTCAGTGTTATAAACAAAACCTTCTCAAAAGCTGAACAAGGATAAGATTTAATCAAAATGTTATCAATACAATGGCCTATGATATTTTATAACATATCAAATAAAACTACTATTCAAAATATGTCATTATTTAACTCTTATGTTTTTCATTCACTAACCAAATTTTACTTCTAGGTAGTGTGGCGAGACTTACTTCTGGTATCGACCCTGGATTATTGTAAGTGGAGTATTTGCACTAATATAATGATAATATTGTTATTGGTACCGTACATTACCTACATGTTTCTGAAGCACAAGTACCGGAACTGGTTGCCTCATCACTTGCATTACGGTTTACATTAATTTATAATGTTGTACGAATTAAACTTCATGACACACTACCTGGGTATATGGGGATCAGAAGATAAAGATTATGTGCGAGGAAATAAAATGTTTGCTTAGAATAAGTAAGAATATTGTGACCCCTTTTATTTTGTTTATCATTTTTAATTCTTGTGTATTAATTTGCCATTATTAAGTTACTCCACTACAACATGATTAACTAGGATTGCTCTCATAGAGCAGTGAAAGCCAGTTGAGCGGAGCGATAACGTTTCATGGTTTTTAATAAAGCAATAAATAAAAAAAAATATAGATACAACTATATCACCAGTTTAACTTATCAGTTTTGCAATGTACTATCAACATCTATAACAAGTTTCATAGGGAAAGATGTGGACATTACATACAATATCCTTTGTAATGGTATTTTTCCTTTGTTTGCTTGCTAAGGTCATCTGGTGAACCCACAGTTCTGGTTGAACCTGACCTTAAACCTAAACCAATTGACATTTTCTCAATCTTGGCCAGATTTTGCAATTCAGGCAGAAATAATCCTGCATGGATCCATACGATGCAACTCTTTAAAGAATGTCCTTGCCTGCTTTGAGAGAATTGCACAAATAGTTGTCAACATACCTTTTATGAGGGTTCCTTTTCTTAAATTTTGTACAGTTAGCATAATTATGAAAGGCATTGTTTTCAAGCAAAATGTTCTACATTCAACTATCTCAAACCATTTCCAGAAGTAGTTGTTCGTGTGTTTATTGCTTGTCTTCATTTTCTACAAATATCAGGCAGTGTTTGAGAATGCATTCTGAAATTTTCCTTAACATGACACTCTTATGTGAATTAGGAATTTTCTTGTAAAACAAATACGCAAAAAATACTTTATTCTTCTTGGTAAATAATATACCCCAAGTTGTTACCAACACAACAATCAATACAACAAGTGTGTTGCCAACACGATGATCATCAAAAATATTTCTAAGTAAATAATAAGAAAGCATGTTCATAATAGCCTATTTAAATAAAAATAATGATTTGAAAATACTTAATTATTTAAAACTGCATAATTAATTTCCAATAACTTAAGATAAATGTTTTTTGTTATAGAGTGAAAATTTAAAAACGTACGTTTTCAGGAAAAGCACTTTGCAAATTTTTTCCCCTTTTTTCAAAACTTTCACTATTTTTTTTATTTCATTAACATTTGAAGTTTCATAAAATGTCCATGGTAACGCAGTATCTTTGGTAGTTTTCTTTTTAAAGAGCATCTTTAGTAGAAAAACACAAAATCCTGTCACGACCATAAAGGACGTTTAAATGAATATTAAAAATAGTTAATATTATTTTTATAACTATGTTTTGCTATAAACTAATTTACTTTTATGACCATTATACAATAAAAAGGTCATTGAGCTTTTGGTATATTTGGTCTTTCTAGAAAAAAATAAAAAAAACTCAAAAAATAGAAAAAAACCAATAAACTTTTTAAGTTTGTATAACTCCGAAAAAAACATACATGAGACCCGAAAAATCGTTATGTTTGTATAGAGGTGTGCTTCTTTTGTGTATAAAACATTGAAATATGACGATATTTTAATTTTTGAAATTTTTATGATAGAAATCATAAACGTGATGGTCAGGGACAAGCGGTACGGTCGTGAATTGTCTGGAATAATCTAAATCTTTCTAAACAATCCTTCAATTATACTGTTAGTTATAATAAAACTATGTGTTTCAATTGAACTAAACTGTTCAATTTACAATTATATTAAAGTTATTGTCACGACCAAACACACTATAATCCATAAGGCTGGATTGGTCGTGAAAAAAACCGCGATGGTCGTGAAACTTTGGTCGTGAAATTACGTGTTATTTGGCTCTGTTCTGGCGGTAGCCCTGCACCTCATGTTCGAGGATACAAAGTGGACTTCTAGGTTAATCTAGCAATTGAAATATTTTATAAACAAAAATTAACACCATGCCTACTTCGTCGAATGACTATGTACGGTCATGGACACACCAAAATTACAAAAAACACAATCTTTCCTTTATTAATCTTGTAATTCATCCTTTCAACTCAAAACGACCGGCATTACAATCCTGACGTACACCCCGAACTAGTCTCTAAAACCAACTGACTCCATCGACGCCAGGCTTGCCACTGTCGTGCTCCAAAGTTGAAAATTTTTCCCAAATGGTCGTGATGCCAAATCGAGGGACAGACTTATTTTGTCATGGTAGTCAGTTTGTAATGACAATAAAATTATAATATGCTCCTTTTTTGTAAGTTTAATAACCATTGATGACATAAAAATATGGCTTCATATATTTCGGCATGAATAATTAGTCTAAAAACAGCGTGAAAGTTGGAAAATGTACCCTAGGGACACGTCATGGTCGTGAATTTCGAAACTTTAAAAATACGAAAAAAATACCTAGAACCTATTTAAAACCAAATAAATGTGTGTAACATGTTTCCCCCGTCCCAAAAAATATAAAAACACATAATAATAAACTACAAATCCAGTATCTACGAAGTAAAAGGCCAGGGACATGAAAACGTACGTTTTTAAATTTTCACTCTATAACCTTATTTAGCTTCGTAAATCAAATCTATCAAATACTGTACCTATTCGATTTACAACAGCTTGGCCTCAACAAGTTTAAAAAACTTGTCGGCGAGGTCCAATTGATGCATAAAACTAACAAACAAAATGTTTACATTTTTTCTTTTTCTCTAGAACAAAGATTTATAAATATATACTATTTCTACAGTGGTTTGTGGCAGTCACTTTAACTTAAAACAAAGTAATTGGCAGCACACTAAAAAATCTAAATGTAATGCCATAAGTAATTGATATTTGTACATATTTATTATTTATGTGTTAGAAAGTTTACATTGAAGTTGATCCCAAAGAGCTTCGCTTCGCTCCGCTCAAAAAATTAAACATCAATTTGGGACACAAATTCAAAAACAAATGACAAACTGCGAAGGGTTGTAAACTTTTCCATAATAGGGGCAGGGGAGGGGTGGAAAACCCAGTAAAGAGGGTGGTTCTTTTTAGGTAAATGTTTAAGATTTTTATACAAATTATTGATTGTACACTACTTAGGTCTACTCCTTTGCTGACATATATTTTTACTGTACAATCTGAAAGAAATGTGGTTAATGTAGATTTGATGAAAAAAAAAAACTATGCCATGCTGTACTTTTTCATCGAGAAGTTTTGATAAAAAATGATTGTGGTTAAAGAAACAATTGATCTTAGATTCTAACAGAGCTACAAAGGTCATTTCAATGCATTCTATTTTCACCCTGAATTCATATTCGGCTTAGTATATGTATACCTAAGTGTGCCTTGTTATTCTGAAGGGGAATGATTGATAGGTTGATTGAGTTGTGTTCAGATTGCAAATGGTTTGGTAACGTTTTCAGAGAACCTATCGACTCGAGCACCCCCAAGACCAGCCTTGTATCACACTCCGTGGAGGAGCACAGATACGGCAGTGTAGGGGGCCGTACTAGCCCAGCGCGTGATGTGCGACGAGAGCTTGTCTTCACTGGAGGCTCCAGACAGCGTGACCAGAACTCACCAACACTCCCCACCACCTCGGTGCCTGTAGCACGACAGGAGATATACCGATATGAAACCAAGACCACACGCTCCAGTGAGTGTAGCATTAACTCATACAGTAGGATTTCTTAAAGAAACAAATAATTTTCATGTTTAGTAAATCATTTCAAAAACATATCACTGACCTTATCTTGCATGTGGCGGGAGATTCAATAATCTAAAATATTTTCGAGACACACATCGAAGTGTACACGTCAGCTAATAAAGAGCTGAAATCGGCGCCATTCTGTTCACCAATGATTCAGTATGCGGCAATGAGCCTTGTTGTGACGTACACACGAACTAAAGAAGCTAAGAGTAAGCCCAGGCGCATATTGAGCTGTGCGGCACAGTCCGGGCAGTGCAGCACAGTACTGAGCAGCATTGGGTAAAAAGTATCCGTCGCACAGCAACATCGCTAATTAAGAAGCAGGCCCACTTTTATAAACGGGCAGACTGGGCATATGCCCAGGGGCGCCGGAGGTTTGGGGGCGCTCACCGGGTGCCCCTCAACCATCGCCTGTCCGCACTAGTAAAAAAGGGGGGCACTGCTTTGGGTTTGCCCAGGGCTCCACTGACCCTTAACTCGGCCCTGTTAAGAAGCAGTGTCATCCAGTTCTTGTATGTGAGCGATACAGTTTCTTGTGTGAGCATGTTGTCAAATTATTTGGATTTTAGATCTGAGTCACATTCAGATGGTGATCTAGATTTATTGAGCGAAGCTCTTATACATCAACTCTTATGCATTTCGTAATATGCAAACTCCTCCTAGACGGCTGAAGCAATCATTTTCAAATTTTGCATGGTGATAAAGTTCATATCGGTGAGTGCTAACATCTATATGGCTTATAAAGTTCTCTAAGGAATTAGCCCCATGGGCCCCCAAAATTTCAATGTAATCCTTATGGAAGCAGTATTTGACACAATTAAAAACAAAGGCATAAGATCAGCTGTTGACTTAAAGGAATGATTGTAACAGTTATCAGATAGTAGAACAGAAACTGTATGGATCATAAACATAAAGAAATGATGTCCTTAGCTTGAACCAATAATAGCATAACCATAATAATTTTGGACGTTTTTTCACAGTTTAATTTAATAATAATAATACAAACATGCTTGCTTTTGGGCTAGTGACGTTATTTGTTTATGATCAATACCATCTCTGTTCTAATGATTACTTCTTGGATTCAGTTGACCATAGGTGTATTTATAAAAGTGTTCCATTGGTTTATCATTCAAACTAAACATTTTTATGGCTGTAGACAAAAAAGTCAGTAGTTATAAATAACATTGTTAATACAATGGAATCAACTTTATGGTGATGGCAGTGTGTGTTAATTGATGAGGCCCCTGGCCCCTCTCACTAGAGAGGCCCCTCTATTTTCTGATCCTTCGGAAGGCTTGAATAAGGGGTAGAAAAACACGTGGTATATTGCTTCAATTCGATGAATTTGCCTTATTTTGTTTTGAACAATCGGATCGACGAAAAGACCTAGGAGAGTAGTTAATAAAATAATAAGTCTATTAAAAATAGTATATTACGTTACTAGTCCTGAAAATAAGTGTTTATCGGACGAGTGTTGTCGTTCCCGTGCGAGACGAAGTCGAGTACGGGATTACCATACGAGTCCGGTACACACATTTTGGACGAGTTACGTACGATAGTTTACGGCATACTACTAAATCCGTACAAATCCTTATATATTTCCACCAACTAAAGGACTAATAAACACTAGTCATAACCTCTGAGAGAGGTTATGTTTTTGTTTATAACCACTAATTGCCACGAAAATACAGTATAATCAGCTGATTGGTGTCCGGTAAAACTCATTGCAGAACAGTATTACGCAATGAAACCCCATTTGAATAAGCTGGCGGCAAACAGCTGTTTTCTGGACTAAATCCTTGCGTGGAAAGTTCATCAAAATAACGTAGTGTGGCGTAAAAATTATATTATTAGGGGTCTTAGGTTGGGTCCAACATTTTTCATTTCTTTCAAGTTGAGTAAACGATCGTAATCTTTGGGCATCAGATCAAAATCGGGTAGTTTCAGAAATAATTAATTTAATCATTTAAATAAAATAAATAACTAAATAAATAACTTAATAATAAATACTATAATCGGCTTATACAAAATCTGGAATTGCGGCCAAATTGTAAGGGTCTTCTGCGGTCACAGTAAAATCGTGAACATCTTCTACGTTCACCGCAAAATAGTTAACATTATACGCGATCGCGGAGACATCTTTGTCTTCTGCAATCGCGGCAAAATCATGAATGTCTTCTATGGCCGCGAAGAAATAGATAGCATCTTACACGAGCGTGGGGATGTCATCTTCGTCTCCTACGATCACGGTAAATTCATGAATGTCTCCTATGGCCGTGGAGAAATTGTTTGTGTCTTGCGGGATCGCTGAGACGTCATCTTTGTCTTCTCCGATCGCGGGGATCTACTCTTCATATATCTACTATGACTGGTACTATGGCTAACAACAGTGAAGCTAGTATAAGTATAAGTGAAGCTATTTGCTTATGTTAAGTGTTGTTTTCACAGCCAGTGGTAACAGAGACTTGTCTCCTCCCCGGGACCGCAGACAGCCTTCTCCATCGCCCGCTCGGCAACAGCTTCAGTCTGTGCGGACTTACAACTACAGCAGCTCCGATGATGTGCCTCGAACCCCCACCATGCACAGGTATACTAACCAATTGGTTATACAATTGAATAAACACCTCCTCGTTTGTCGTTTATGTCGGTATTGTGTTCATTATAAACAAAAGTCTAGCAGTTGCTTAAAAAAAACCTAAATTGAAAATCAAAGGAGAACTTTGTGACGGATCATTATTTCCTAATGGACATCATTCATTTTCTAATGGGTCAGAGATGCAAGGAACAAATGTGTGCCCTTCTTTTTGAACTTGTTCCTTTGTGTTCAGCATTTGTCTAAAGGTAACAAGTAACTAATTAAATCAACTACCTATTTTTTATGAATAAAAAACATTCATGATCGAAACCAATTTTTTAAATACATAATTCTTATTTTCAGATCTCCATCACCAGCTGGTGTTCGCAGCTCATCGAGTACAACTGTGAGGCAACAACAGTACAACAGAGACTTTTCCCCCGAGGGCTCTAGGCAGCCTATGAGGTCAAACTCCCCCTCGCCTAAGAATCCCAGGACCACCAGCTCCAAGGTGACATCGGTTAACAACTATTCCTACAACTCCACATCTAGAGACACCAGGTCCCATGAAGTGCCTCGCAGCCCTCCTCCCCATCGTTCCCCCTCCCCTGTGTCATTCAACGCTCCTCCCATCCCATCACACAAGTCTACCTCCGTCAAGTCCTATTATGAGCAATCGAACAACGCTCCTCCCTACGTTAGACCTCAGTCCCCTCAGCCAGTGCAGAAGTTCAGTCCCTCAGATCCGAGTAGAACTTTGACGTACCAGGTATCTCCTCCCCCCTCCTTCCCTCCACAACCCACAGTGATAACTTACAAGTACTCGAGTCAGACGACACACTCCACTAAGTACCCAGGAGAAATGTCCCCACCGAGATATCCTGCTGAAGAGAATGCTCCACTACTACCTCGACCTTTCCCCACACCATCTCCTACCCCTGAAACACAGCAGCAACCTCCTAAAAAACTAGATGATCTAATGGCTTCCTTTGGTGAAACTGAGTACCAGGTTGGTTGGAGTTTTATGTAGTTAATTTAGCTGATAACTTGTATAAGCACAACTGAGTTAGCTTTGACTTTAAATTGATATATTTATAATTAACTAGCTTGATTGCGGGTGGAGTTAACAACTTAGGCCCCTATCACACTATGCTGGCCTGCCATGTCGCCAGCGCCGTGGCTATTGGTCGCTGGCCACGTTGCCGGTCACCTAGCTAACTTGGACTGTTCAATGCAGTCCAGTTTTCTAGTCGTAAAGATGCCATCTAGCAGTGAGTTAAGTTACATGTTGTTAGAGCCACTGGGGCAGAGCCGATTGGGCGGATCATGAAATTGATGGTGTATAAACCTATTCCATGAAATTCTACAGGTATGTACCAAGTTTCGTGGCAATCGGTCCAAAGGTGTCCGAGCTCATAACGGTCAAACATACAAACTTCCTCTTTTATAAATATAGATTTATATATTAATAGTATATATTTAATACGCTACCGTACATACAAACTATGTTCCCGATAAGACTTTTTTTTAACCCACCCCGATATCAAAAAACTTTTACCTATAGGTTGTATAGATGTGCAAACTATTTTCTATTCAATACTTCTATTTTTTATTCAATCCATGAAACTTGAAATAAACTAAAAAAAACAAATTTGTTACATTTTCACTTTAAAATTATTTTATTTTATTTATTTATTTTATTTTAACTAATAAGTCTAAATCAAGCTGTTTGGTTTTTATACGTGATATTTGTATGTATATCACATGAAGGCATAGTATGACATACCATGATTGCAGAGAGATAAGCACGACGTTGTCATGGTGGTGGAATAAGGCCACAACGTTGCCGTGATAGCTTGGAAAACCATGATATACCATGATTGCAGAGAGATAAGCACGACGTTACCATGGTGGTGGGAGAAGACCATGACAACCATGATAACTTGGAAAACCATAATATACCATGATTACAGAGAGATAAGCACGATGTTACCATGGTGGTGGGAGAAGACCACGACGTTGCCGTGATAGCTTGGAAAACCATAATATACCATGATTACAGAGAGATAAGCACGACGCTACCATGGTGGTGGGAGAAGACCACGACGTTGCTGTGATAACTTGGAAAACCATTATATACCATGATTACAGAGAGATAAGCACGACGCTACCATGGTGGTGGGAGAAGACCACGACGTTGCCGTGATAACTTGGAAAACCATAATATACCATGATTACAGAGAGATAAGCACGATGTTACCATGGTGGTGGGAGAAGACCACGACGTTGCCGTGATAGCTTGGAAAACCATAATATACCATGATTACAGAGAGATAAGCACAACGCTACCATGGTGGTGGGAGAAGACCACGACGTTGCCATGATAACTTGGAAAACCATGATATACCATGATTACAGAGAGATAAGCACGACGTTACCATGGTGGTGGGAGAAGACCACGACGTTGCTGTGATAACTTGGAAAACCATGATATACCATGATCGCAGAGAGATAAGCATGACGTTACCATGGTGGTGGGAGAAGACCATGACGACCGTGATAACTTGGAAAACAATAATATACCATGATTACAGAGAGATAAGCACGACGTTGTCATGGTGGTGGGATAAGGCCACAACGTTGCCGTGATAGCTTGGAAAACCATGATATACCATGATTACAGAGAGATAAGCACGACGCTACCATGGTGGTGGGAGAAGACCACGACGTTGCTGTGATAACTTGGAAAACCATAATATACCATGATCGCAGAGAGATAAGCACGACGTTGTCATGGTGGTGGGATAAGGCCACAACGTTGCTATGATAGCTTGGAAAACCATGATATACCATGATCGCAGAGAGATATGCATGACGTTGTCATGGTGGTTGAAGGGGGAGATGACACAGAGTGCAAAAACATATACAAAACACGATACACGGAACGGACAAAAGTCTAGACTTTACCTCAGCCTGGTCACGATCGATTGTCAATGTCCCTTCGTGTTTTTTCGTTTTTTTTTTGTAATGTGTGTTCGTTCCATGTATCGTATATGTGTTTTGTATATGTTTTATTTATTGAAATCTGTTAACGACCTTCGAATGAAGTGATCACTTGACACCTTGAGGCCTGAAGATGGTTCAAAACAAGAACCGAAACTAGTTGCCTAAATCAGCAACAAAGGATTACTATATGCAGGTATTGTAAACCATTTTAAGGACTATTTCATGTTATAATAATGGCAACGAGGATGGGATAGTTGTTGTATACTTCGTGAACAGTTATGCTTGGCGTCATGAAGCATTTGCTTGCGGAACGCATCCTTGACTGTTTGATCTGCTCGTTCCGCAAGACCGTTGGATACAGGATGATACAGAGGAGTAAGTATGTGGTGAACTCCATTATGTTTCAAAAAACTATAAAATTCTTCAGATCTAAATTGTGGTCCCCCATCGGTAACAACAGTATTTGGAAGTCAGAAAGTTGCAAAACAATGTCTCAGCTTCTTGATAGTGTGTTTAGCGGTAGTACCAGTCATGTAAAATACCTCAATCCATTTAGAATAACTATCTACAACCAACAGAAAGTCTTTTCCTTGAAACTCGGCAAAATCAAGATTAATTCTTTGCCAGCAATGATGTGGCCATGTCCATGGTTGTAGGGGTACAAGTGGACCAGATTTACGTATCTTTTGACATATCGAGCATTCCCTCACCATGTTTTCTATATCTCTGTCCATTCCTGGCCACCAAACAAAGCTGCGTGCCAATGCCTTCATTTTTGATTCGCCAGGATGTTCTGTATGTAGCAACATTAGTATTTATTTTTGATGAGTAGAAGGTATCACTACACGATTTCCCCATAAGAGACACCCATGGTCCACTGATAATTGTATGCTTTTATTTAAGAATGATTTGATATTTGGATCATCTGAAAAACTAGGCCAGCCATTAACGGTGAAATCAAGAGCCTTTGATAGGATTGGATCAAATTTGGTAGCGAGGGCTATTTCCTTTGAAGTGATCGGTAACTCGTGAGAAGAGGAAAAGAATGCTATTTCACCCACATCATTTTCATTGGCACAAGGTAAACTGGATAGTGCATCAGCGTTACTTATGTCACTCACTACCTTTCTTATACTGAATCTCATACTGATAGGCTGATAAGATTAAAGCCCAGCACTGAATACGGCACGTGCAGCAGCTATTGTTGGGATACATTTGTTTGGATTAAGCAAAAATATGAGAGGACGGCGATCTGTCACAAGTGTGAATTTTCTTCTGTAAAGAAATTTATGGAACTTCTTAACGGTGAATATCAACGCCAGGGCTTCCTTCTCAATCTGGCTGTATTTGACTTCTACGATGGCATCCTGGGGTTGTTACTAAGATCATAAGTCCTGTCACATATTTGGTGAAGGTAGAAGGCCGGACAAGGTTTGCGCATGCTGACCACCTTAGAACAAGTCACTTGAAATGCGAGGAAGAAGAGGACAATGCCACTGTACAATTTCCAAGAGAAATCTATTCACGCCCTAAAGAGATAACATTACAACATGACGATGCAGCAAAATCTCCATCATCACATATCAGACAACAATGTTCATCTCCTAAATGTTCATCAACCAATATCCCTGTTACAAACTATCAGATGCTGTTATTCGACGCTCTCAAATAACCTGCAGAATGCCAAAAAATTAGATCTATAAAAATAATTCCTCCCTTTGTCTAAATATATATGTATAATTTTGTTTTGAAATAATTTTTTATTTTATTTTGGAAGGAGTTGTTGTAAAGTAAATTTATGTTCCATATATATAACCAGAAGATTGGTTATTTCTTATGATTTAATTTAGAAGGCATAAGGATATGCTCACCAACAATAGTCGATGAACATTATCAGAGTTTGGATACTAGTGACTTTTAAGATCATTCCTGTCATTTTATCAATTAATAAATTATCCATTATTAATTTATTTGGACTATTTCATGTTGTAATACTTGTCATACTTATTCTTTTTTGATACCTTACAATTCAACTAATTGCACGGATACACAAACCACAATTTTGAAGGATGACGCTGCCTATTTTCCAATGGTTTCATATGTTTTTTTTATATTTGAAGGACGTCCTGGGTGAATCATGTCCTGGGATCATCAACAATATCTTTTCTCCCTTTTTTAAAATGTCTATACCACTAAAACTGCTGTCTATGGGACATACATTGATCCTCATCTACTACTTCTGGTGTTGTGAGAGAGAATAAGTCCCTGTATTGGACTTGCTGAGCTTCTCTAATAATTCCCACTGTACTGGCATGTTTCTCAATAATAACATGTTCAGACTAAAGTCAAATACAGTACACGATCTGACACAAACAAAGACTGAGGCCGAACTCTAAGCAATTTTGTGTCAAAGAACCGCCCGAAATGTGGAAGGGAGATGTTAAGTGACTAAGTGACTTGGACATGTGGTGTTTGGCCTTGTATATCACACTGTTTGTCTCTTGGAAAACCAGTCTCCCCATTTTATAGCCATCTTTGTGTATGGAGAAGATAACATTATGTACTTTATGTAGTAAAAAACTCAAGATTTATAAACAGTAGTAAAAAGACTTCACAAATTTTTCAAAGTAACGAGGTTTTATGAATTGTAACATTTTTCTCTCTATAACAGATGAATCGATTATCTACAGTTGTAATACATGTTTGTATTAAAATTATGTTTCAGCACCACCATGAGACCAGCTCTCGCTACGTCCCTGTGAAGGAGCCGATGGTACAGAAGGCTGAGGCTCCGCCCCCCGCTGCCCCGCAACCCCCTCCAACTCCCCCGCCGTCTGGACCCAACCACAACTCAGCTGCCATGCAAGCTAAGTCTAAGAACATCTCAGGGCCCCCAGTATACTACCCTCCTGGTGTGGAACTGTTTTCTAAGAAAGAAGAAGCCATGACTCAGTACCAGGTATATTTGTATTATTATTCATAATTATAATATATATTATATATTATATATATTATTATATTATATTATTATATATTATATATTATATATTATATTATATATATTATTATTATATATTATTATATATTATATATATATATATATATTATATATTATAATCTAAGGCTTTCACTATGGATAGAACAGAATATTTTGTTATGCTAAATTTGTATCAAGTTTTAGGTTGAACAAAATGAACATATGTACCAATTGTTGAATTAGGGGTTGAGGACCGTGTATGCTGCTCTCAGTTACTCATTTCTGTTTTATTCACCAACTTTTTAACTAAGCCAAATCAATTTTTTTTGTGTTGCTAGCCTAGTGGTTAGCATCTCGGACTTCGGAGCGGGAGGGACGGGTTCAATCCCCGGCACATCCACAAAACTTTAATGGGTTTGGACCGCTTTCCCTTAAAAGTGTTTGAAATGACTTCATTACAAAAATGCCACTGGCAAAGAAACGAGCAAAAAAAAAAAAAAAAAAATTGGAATGTTATCTTTTTGTAAACAAAAGCATATTTGTACCAAACAAACTGTAATAGTATTGTAAAACTAAGAGATAAATTATACCATTGACATTAGCTTACTCCAGGCTAAGATTGGCTACAACTGTGTCATTCTACAGATGTGGCATCCACCTGAGGTATTAAAAAATAATTATGCCTCCACAAAATTAGTTCTTATCATGTTATGATATTTTTTGAAATCTATTTAAATAGATTTGTCCTCTGGATATTTTATTTTAAAACAAGTTGTTGTAATAAGTGAATAGTGCACACCCTGGTGTCGCTGTTATCTAGCATCTACTTTCTACAATAAGACATTATTGATAAGTGGCATGATGTAAAATGGGATCTGAGTTCTACTTCAAACTATGTAACCACAGTGGTATGCCTACCCAGTTATCTCTGGTTATCTGCTAATTGTAGAACTAACTATTCTGTTCCAGAGTGGAGGAGGAAAGTACAAAGCAAAAGCCAAGTATGAGTATGAGTCAAGCAGCAAAATGAAGACGAAAGAAAGTTCTGGCAAAACTGTGGTCCCAGTGTGCCTTCCTGTTTGTTGTGCTATGCCATGTGTCATCATGTAAAATATTACTTTTGTATTACTTAGCTTTAAAACAACTTAATGTACAATATTTTAAAGATCTAATACATGTATAGCTTTCATTCAAACGTAATCAATAACTTTTATATAATAAGTATTGTAAAGTGAGCTTGGAAAATTAATTTGTTTGTGCAATAAAATGCTTAAGTGTTACCCTTTGTAGATAGCTTAAAATAGAGCTCACTACAACCAAAATTTGTTATATAATGAAAACTTTTCATATCATGCTCAATGTAAATAGTTGGAACTTTCAAAATAACCTTTTAAGCAAAAGATAGCTTGAATAAAAATGTCTTTAATTTTGAAATCAAAATACAGCAAGAAATGGCTTAAGTAGGTACTTCAGAGAGTTCAGTAGGTACAGTAATAATAGACTTAAGAAACGTTTTAAAACTTTTATATATTTCCTTGTAAATAAAAAATAATAAATACAGCAGGAGCCTGTTGCATTCAAACTTTTGGTTTGCCTAATACATTTTAAAATTTCCCGACTAGTACTATACAAGCTGTACTGTAAAGGTTAAAATTATACAAATAACTTAACATTCATGCCCCTAAAGCTGCAAGTTGCTTAATCATGTTAAGTTCAAATAACTTTACTGTATGTAAAAAATATTGTCGAATGATAGCATGATTTTAGTAATTTGTTTATTGCATGTAAAATAACTTATAGTTGACTAATTAAATATTAAATATATTTGTTTAGTCATAGGTGTTAAGGAGTTTTATGCTTCTAGTTCCAGAACCGTGGGTAACAACAACATGTTATCAAACTTGAAAAACAAATGCCTTTACACATTAATAATGTACTAATAACCATGTAATGATCGGTATGATAATGATTTATATTTAATTTACTTTGTTTCAGTTAAAACATCAATGTTCATTAAGAGTTAACTAAGTTTCAAGGTTAAGCCGATTGACATTTAAGATCGACTCTGTAATATTGTATTTATAAGCCTAATAAATTGTGTAACATTGTTTCACTAGTGTTTACTATACCTTTTTGCCAATTTTCCATATGGGTAATAATTGCTATTACCGTATAATCAAGAATTTATAGGGGGTTTGAGTATGCAGTGGTGTAACAGATTTTTACGGCCCCCTGCAAACTTATTTTTTAGCCCACCCCTCCCCTCCCCTTATGAGTTAATAAGTTATTATTAGACCACAGCCCTCCTCCCAGAGTTATTTTTGGACCACCTATACAATGATCAAACAGATTCATCATAGATAGAGTAGTAAATAAATTATGGGTTATGTTCCATAAAAGGGCGTGTTAGGAATCCTTGGAGGCTAGCGGCCATCTTGGATAACTTCAAACAGCTGCTGAAGAGTTAATTATCATCCAAAAATAGTTTTTCAAACACCAAAGTAATTATAATGTAAAAATCTAGTATACTGTAAGATTAGAAATGTTGTTTGTTGTTTTGAATGTATTTCTAAGGGAGTCCATGAAAGCCAACGACCATCTTGGATTTGCCTGCCATAAGAGCAGTGTTAATTTTGTTATTTTCAAACAGCCCCTGAAGAGTTATTTACCACCAGTTTTTTCAAATACCAAAGTGATTTTAATTTAAATATCTAGTATACTGTGAGATCAGAAATTTGCTTTGTAGTTTTTAGTAATTGTTTTTTAGAACGTCTAGACTCCAAGGACTCTTTATTTCAGTCATGGTTTGATTAAAAAGTTACATCACTACATCATTATAACAATATTAGTGTTTATAAAAGTTTTTAAATAAAATAAAAATACCTCATTTTTTCATCCGTATCAGAATGTTTATATCAAGGAGGTTATAGTTGTTACGATTGTTACATCTCACCTCTATAAACTAAACTAATGTGCTTTATGAGTTGATAAAAGATTTTTAAGAACTTTTGTTATAGGCCAACCACAACTTATTCGATTTTAATTTTTTAATTTACGTGCCCGTAATACATAACAAAATAATAATGTTTATATATTATTAACATTTCTTTTTTCCTTGTACTCTTTTACTTTTATGATGGCTGGTCATAGACAAAACATCAATTCTAATACCAAGAGACAACATTATTTATGTTAACTACACACACAGTCCCAATTACATCACCAGACTTGTAAGTTTGAAGTGGAGTAGCGCTATAGTTCTCCACCTTTGTCTGACAGGACTTCTAGCACGCTGAAGAACTAGCATCTTAAAGCTGCTGGATCTCGCAGCGAGAACTAGCTGCTGAAACAAGCTCCATGTGACAGGGGCTGTTTCATTCAATTTGTGTATAACCAGCTGTTTCAAATATTAGTGTAAATTTCAAAGTATTTATCTGTTCAAATGTAACAAACATTTTCTCCCTAAGAATAACATGGGAACTTTGAAGGCCACTGGGGCAGAGCCCTGATGGAATTTTAAAGATGTTTTGTTTGATGGCAAATCTACAGGCCACGACCTATCCAAAGACACCTTAAACTTGGTCAGCGGATGCATGGCAGCTTCAAAACAATTATCACAAAAAAAAAAAATTGGCCTATTGAGTACTGTATACAGGGTTAGGCAAAAGTCTGGAACCCCCCAGTTAACTTTTTAACGCGTAGCAGTAGGAAAACCAAACTCGGCACATATTTACAACATAAGAAATTGCACTTTTTCATCAAAGTTACATTTTTACCCCAGCCTATTTTGGGGGCAGCCCCAAATTTTCAAATGTAAACACCTATCATTTGACGCCTCATTTTAAAGGGTTTATCAAGAGAAATTGAATGGCGCAAACCAGAGGTTAATATCGCACCCTTAATCAAAACGACAAATATTTTAATTTTAGGATAAGCAAACAAGATAAATTAGAATTCATTTCCTACTACTGGATTGTTAGTTATTAATAAATAATAATAATGTTACCTTCTTCCGTTCCAAATGACGGAAGAAATGGCAGTCATTTGGAACGGAAGAAGGTAACATTATTATTATTTATTAAACAAGATAAAGTCTGGACACCCCCAGTAAACTTTATTACGTGTGGCAGTGGGAAAACTAAAGTCGGCACATGTTTACAACATAAAAAAATGCACTTTTCATTAAAGTTACAACTTTTACCCGGCCCCCAAAATGGGGTATTTTGGGGCAGCCCCAAATTTTCAAATGGAAACACCCATCATGTGACCCCTTTTAAAGAGTTTCTCAAGACAAATTAAATGGCACAAACTAGAGGTCAATATCGCATACCTAATCAAAATGGCAGTCATAAAATGGATATTTGATGGATTATAATCAAGCACTAATCTTCAAAATTAAATTTTGAACCTACTTTTTACAACCTAGGTAGGTCCTACTCGATGCGTTTTCCTGGACTGTATTGACAAGTCCCATTCTTGTAAAAATGTGCGGTGGCTGATCGAAAGTACCCTACTGTAAAATAATTAGACTGTATATTGTTTATCTTGTTAGACTTTATCTTGTACGCTTGTCTTAAAATAAAAAATGGCTGCCATTTTGATTAGGGGTGCGATATTGACCTCTTGTTTGCACCATTTAATTTGTCTTGGGATACCCTTTAAAATGAGGGGTCACATGATAGGTGTTTACATTTGAAAATTTGGGGCTGGGTAAAAATTCTATCTTTGATGAAAAAGTGAATTTTTTATGTTGTATACATGTGCTGAGTTTGGATTCCCCAATGCCACACAATAAAGTTAACTGGGGGTGTCCAGACTTTATCTTGTTTGCTTATCTTAAAATTAAAATGGCTGCCATTTTGATTAGGGGTGCGATATTGACCTCTGGTTTGCACCATTCAATTTCTCTTGATAAACCCTTTAAAATGAGGGGTCACATGATGGGTGTTTAGATTTGAAAATTTGGGGCTACCCCCAAAATACCCCATTTTGGGGGCTGGGGTAAAGTTGTAACTTTTATGAAAAATTGCAATGTCTTACTGCAACGCGTTAAAAGTTAACCGAGGGGTTCCAGACTTTTCCTAACCCTGTATAGGTACCTATAGATTAATCTGTTTAATTTTTTGATCGCCGTATCCATACAGATAGTCGCAAGGGAATCTCCATGTCCATGTCTCTATGTCAACATAATTATTGTAAGCATGCACTGAACTGCCGCTGAATTGCAATGACTGAACCATTAAAACGACCTTGTATAACAAACGCACGTAGCTCAGGCTACTACTGCTATATGACTACAGATAAAAAATAATTACACTGTGTAGGCTTTTCAACGAGCCTACCCCCAGCACCCTCAGACGACCGGTCGCTGAACAGTGCGCTGCTGAAAGTGGATCAGTTATTGCCGCACCCTGTACGTTTATATTGAAGCGTTGTTGTTATGCGTTTAATGGTAAATGAGAAAATTCCCAAAAACTGTAAATATAAAACTCCCATGTTATTTTAACGGAGAAAATAATCTGTTGTATTTTGCTTGTTCATGGCCATATGTTCAAATGTTGAACCTTTATTGTAGTAGCAAACTTTAGTATACTCATTAAACTCGTGTTATTTAATTAGGGAATACATAACATTTTTAAGGGGATACTTTAATGAAAATACAATAAGGCAAATAGAAATTTGCTCTGTCTGCCGGTTTGCTGTGACGGGGGAACACATAGTATTATCGTGTCTACTGACTTGCTACGTACTAGCTTTGAAAAAGTATGTTTTCTGTGCTTTGACTATTAATACAACACTAGGCCTAGTAGTAGCGAAACCAAGCGTTCGAGCGCTGCCCGGGTCAAACACAATGCACAATAGTGGATTAAGAAGACATTTTAAAGTAAAAATTGTATGGGCGTATATTTTTTATGTTTTGGTTTTGGCGTAATCTAGCTTTAGTCATATAATTTATTATCTGGGATGGTGGTGTTTATAATGATTTTACTTTACATTTTATGCAGCACATACTTGCAGTTTCATCTTTAAATTGGTGTCCATTGCGATATTTGCATAGGTAGTTACTGTATTCATTTTCTGATAACAATATGATGTTCATTTGAACCTTTCTTGGCATTATAGTGAAACAATTTAAGTTTGTATACAAGGCAACGTAGCGTATTTTAGTCGTTCTTACTCTACTTTGTTCATTTTCTTGTTTCCTTCGATCTGATGGACTACGATGAAAATATATTTTAGTAAGAATATTTTCGTTAGAATACTGGTCTACTTTGTTTTAGCTATGCGGGATTATAGTTTCCTGTTATGACAGGGAATACCTATTCATCACCGTCCTTTCAAATTATAGTGAGTTTAGCCAACGAAACTTCTAATTACTGCGTGTTCCAAATCAGCCTGCACCCCCCTTAAACATTGAAATACGATGTGTATCAAAATTTTTGGCAAAAATACGAAAAACATAATAAGATTCTCTACGGACTGATAGTTTATTTTGAATGTTCGAAATCTTCGATTTATCGAATGTTTGAATTACCAAGAAAAGACTGTATTGAACCTTAAAGTAGTATTAGGCCCTAAACATAATCATAATTGCTACGCATAAGCTTACATAGGATCTGAAATTGCTACTAGTTTTTCATTACAAACAATAAAATAATTTTCATGGTGACGAGAGAATAATTTTTTTAACTGTTCCATGCTGTGTTATTTCAACCTGAGGATGTTGATGTTTTGAATATTGAATTTAAAAGTTTTTGTCTCAATTACGGTACCTACTTATTAAGATGAGAGACACGTCCAATAAAAGGTGATGAATCAGAGACAACATAAACTACAAATATGAAGAGAGAGAAACAAAAGCAATCTTGGATACAGACTGATGAATTAGTAATTATTGAGTAAACTGTGATTAATTTGGGTGGATTAATATACAAGACGTTTTCCTTAATTGAAAAAATAGGTGGGTGGGAAAATTAGTTTATTACTATCGTAATACAAACCTCCTTAAGGTAAGTTACTATTGTGGGATTTGTACAGGACAGCATAGGTACTTCTTGCCAGTGGGTAGATCAGTAGCTGGGTTTTTGCAGATTATCACATCCATCATAGGAG